CCTGAAGTAGAGAAGACCGCGCGTAGAACGAGAAGGGAAACCAGACGGCTCAGAGAGGAGCAGTCCAGTGTTGCATCTCAGATACCTGAGCCAGGAGTAGAACCGACGGATTCGTTTGGTGACACTTCGAGTGACTCTGATCAAGAGGAGATAGGAGATTGCTCTGGCTAATGCACGGACATTAAGGGAGTTGGCTGCTCCTGATTTAAATCAGCAGCCTTTATGCATTACTTTCCCGAGTTTGGGTGATAACACTTCATTCGAATTGAAATCGGGTCTAATTCACCTTTTACCTTCTTTTCATGGTTTACCAGGCGAGGAGCCGTATAAGCATCTGAAGGAGTTTGATGTCGTTTGCAACAGTATGAAACCCCCGGAAATTACAGAAGAGCAGATAAAAATGAGGGCATTCCCCTTTTCCTTGAAGGATTCTGCAAAGGACTGGTTGTACTACCTACCGCCAGGTAGCATCACCACGTGGGTCCAATTGAAGAAAAAATTTTTAGATAAATATTTTCCTACATCCAGGGCTGCGAGTCTAAGGAAAGAAATTTGCGGGATCAAGCAGCACCCAGGGGAGTCACTCTATGAGTATTGGGAACGGTTCAAGAATTTGTGCAGCAAGTGCCCCCAATACCAAATAAGTGAGCAGTTGTTCATACAGTATTTTTATGAGGGGCTCCTTTTCAGAGACAGGAGCATAATTGATGCTGCAAGTGGAGGGGCACTGGTGAACAAAATCCCTCGGGAAGCATGGGAGTTAATAGGAGGGATGGCAGAGAATTCACAACAATTCGGTACGAGAGAGGATGTCCCAATACGTAAGGTGAATGAGATAGAGACATCCTCTATCCAGCAGCAGCTAACTGAGTTGACCTCGTTTGTTAGGCAACTGGCTGTAGGGAATGCATCTCAGGCTAGGGTGTGTGGGATTTGCACTGGTATGGGTCACTCTGCAGACATGTGCCCAATGATTCAGGAAGAAACTGCAGAACAGGTGAACATGGCTGGCCATGCGCCCGCGTCAAGAAAGCAGTACGACCCTTACTCAAGCACCTACAATCTCGGGTGGAGAGATCATCCCAACCTCAGTTATGGAGGAAATAGGCAGCCCAACTTTGCACCGAACAGGCAGTCTAATTTATCTAAAATAAGCAACCAGGGTACCAGCAGCAATACCAACCCCGACCACCTCCGCCCCCAAGCTCTGGTCCATCTTTGGAGGAGATGATGAAACAAATGATGGCAACCATTACGCAAAATCAGCAAAGGACGGACTCCGAAATGCAGGACATAAGGAATCAGATAAGTCAAATGGCTACTACCATCAACCGTTTGGATTCCCAGAACCAAGGTAAATTGCCGTTTCAGCCTGAATTAAATCCGAAGAATGTGAGCGCAATAACCCTAAGGAGCGGGAAGAAAATTCAAGGGCCTGAACCTGTGATCCCTAAGGGTAAGGATGAGGAAAAGATCGAAAATGAACTTGAGAGGGAGGACAGCAATGGTGCTGGTCCAAAGGTACTTCCAGACCCAATAATTACAGTTAAAACTAACCCGCCTCCTTTTCCTAGCAGGTTAGAAAAATCGAAGAAGCAGGATATGGAGAAGGAGATTTTGGAGGTTTTTCGCAAGGTTGAGATAAATATCCCCCTGTTAGACGCAATCAAACAAGTACCAAAATATGTCAAATTCCTAAGGGACTTGTGTGTCAACCGAAGGAGGTTGAGGGGAGATGAGAGGGTCATTGTTGGGGAGAATGTGTCAGCGGTCCTGCAGAGAAAGCTTCCACCCAAGTGCGGGGACCCAGGTATGTTTACTATCCCCTGTAGGATAGGCAACACTGTGATTAGAAGGGCCATGTTGGATCTGGGAGTATCAATTAATGTCATACCTAAATCTATCTATGTTTCTCTAAAACTAGATCCATTAAAAGAAACTGGAATAATTATTCAATTAGCTGACCGAACCAATGCATATCCTGATGGGTTGATTGAAGATGTGTTGGTAAAAATTAATGATTTGGTGTTTCCAGTTGATTTTTATGTACTTGATATGGATGATGATCACTCACCCGATTCCTCACCTTTGTTATTAGGTAGACCCTTTATGAGCATAGCACAAACAAAAATTGATGTTAATAAGGGTACCTTGTCCATGGAATTTGATGGGAAAATTGTGCACTTTAATATTTTTGATACTATGAAATATCCCTCAAACTCCAACTTTAGCTCAGTTTTCTCTGTGAGTGCTATTGACCCTGCGATGCAGGAAGTATTTGAAACTGTTGGCAGGGATGAGTTGGAGGTAGTTTTGACCAAGTACCTCGAGTTGGAGACAACTCCTGAGGTGGAGTGGAGTGAAGATTTAAAATGCACGATAGGAGCACTACACTCATTGCCAACCTCCACAAAAAGGTACGAAGTTTCACCTATATTGATTCCCGAATCTCACCAGAGGGTATTGCCATCGGTGGTGCAGACGCCTGTTTTGGAGTTGAACCCCTTACCAGAGCACCTGAAGTATGCATATCTGGGTGACAATAAGACACTCCCGGTGATTATCTCATCGGCACTGTCAAAAATCCAGGAGGAGAAACTGATCCGGGTCCTTAGAGAGCATAAAGAGGCGATAGGTTGGACAATCGCAGACATTAAGGGGATCAGCCCGGCCATCTGTATGCACCGGATTAGACTGGAAGAGAATGCTAAACCTGTTCGGCAGGCTCAAAGGAGGCTCAACCCCCTCATGATGGAAGTTGTAAAGAAAGAAATTTTAAAATTGCTAGGTATGGGGATCATTTTTGCAATATCAGATAGTCCTTGGGTGAGTCCGGTCCAGGTAGTCCCGAAAAAGGCAGGAGTGACGGTGGAAGCCAACCAAACGGGTGAACTCGTGCCAGTGCGTAAACCCATTGGATGGAGGCAATGTATTGACTACCGTAGACTAAACGCCGTCACAAAAAAGGACCATTTTCCTCTCCCTTTCATTGACCAAATGGTTGAACGATTGGCTTGTAGAGCTTACTATTGCTTTTTGGATGAATTTTTAGGATATTTTCAGATAGCAATTGCACCAGAGGATCAAGAGAAGACTATTTTCACGTGCCCGTTCGGGACCTTTGCCTATAGACGAATGCTATTCGGGTTGTGCAATGCACCTGCAACATTCTAGAGGTGTATGGTAAGTATTTTTTCTGAGTATGTGGAGAAAATAATTGAAGTTTTTATGGATGATTTCAGTGTGTATGGTGATAGTTTTGATACATGTCTAGATAATCTGAAATTGATCCTGATAAGGTGTATAGAGACTAATCTTGTGCTCAATTGGGAAAATGTCATTTTATGGTTGACCACGGGATAGTCTTAAGTCATGTTGTGTCGTCTAAGGGTATTGAAGTTGACAGGGCGAAAATAGATATTATATCTGCTTTGCCTTACCCCGCGAGTGTGCCGGAGGTACGCTCTTTTCTTGGACATGCAGGTTTCTATCGAAGGTTCATCAGGAATTTTTCAAAAATTGGAGCCCCGTTGTTCCAACTCTTACAAAAGGAGGTGACCTTCGAATTCAATGACAAATGTGAGAAAGCCTTCGACAAGTTGAAAGAGTTGTTGACCTCACCCCCAATCATCCAGCCCCCTGACTGGAGTTTACCGTTTGAGATCATGTGCGATGCCAGTGATCATGCTGTAGGGGCTGTGTTGGGGCAAAGAATGGGAAAGGCAGCTCACGTCATCTACTACGCATCTCGAGCTTTGAATGGGGCCCAGTTGAATTACTCTACCACTGAGAAGGAGCTTCTTGCAGTAATTTTTGCTTTAGAAAAATTCAAGTCATATTTGCTAGGTGCTAAAGTAATTGTATTTTCTGATCATGCAACATTAAGGTATCTAATGACCAAGAAGGATGCCAAACCGAGGCTCATCAGGTGGATATTGCTACTGCAGGAATTTGACTTAGAGATAAGAGATAAAAAAGGATCAGAGAATCTAGTAGCAGACCATTTGAGTCGCATACCAGTTGGAGAGGAGAGCGAGCCGTTGAAAGATGCATTTCCTGAAGAGCATTTATTTTCCTTAGATTCTCAATTGCCTTGATATGCTGATTTAGTCAATTATCTAGTAACGGGTAATTTTCCTGCAGGTTGGCCAAAATCGAAGAGGGATAAATTGAAGAGCGACGCCAAGCACTTCATCTGGGATGACCCGTACCTGTGGAAGAGATGTGCAGATCAAGTGATGAGAAGATATGTAAGTGAAGTGGAATTTCAATCGATTTTAGCTTTCTGTCATACTTTTGCCTGTGGAGGTCATTTTGGACCCAAGAGAACTGCTCATAAGGTTTTAGAAAGTGGATTTTATTGGCCTTCGTTGTTTAAGAATGCCTATGTGTTCTGTAAGTCATGTGATCGCTGTCAAAGGGTAGGTAATATAGCCCGTAGAGATCATATGCCCCAAGTCCTGTTGATTTTTGTGGAAATTTTTGATGTTTGGGGTATAGATTTCATGAGGCCTTTTCCTACTTCCTTTGATTTTATATATATTTTGCTGGTAGTTGATTATGTGTCTAAATGGGTGGAGGCTAAGGCCACTAGGACTAATGACTCGAAAGTAGTTGCAGATTTTATCAGGGCTAATATTTTTGTGCGATTTGGAATGCCAAGAGCTATTGTCAGTGATAGGGGAACGCACTTCTGCAACAAAACCATAGCTGCGTTGTTTCGCAAGTATGGTGTACTCCACAGGGTCTCAACGTCGTACCACCCTCAGACCGATGGTTAAGCGGAGGTATCGAATCGGGAAATCAAATCCATCTTGGAGAAAATGGTGCGCCCCGATAGGAAAGATTGGAGTCAACGGTTGGAAGATGTACTCTGGGCCTATCGGACGGCGTACAAAACTCCTATAGGGATGTCGCCGTACAGGTTGGTATTTGGGAAGTCGTGCCATCTCCCAGTGGAGTTCGAGCACAAGGCTTTTTAGGCGATTAAGCAATGTAACATGAACTTGGAAGAGGCCGGTGCCCAACGAAAGTTGGATTTGCAAGAGTTCGAGGAGATCCGAAACGAAGCGTATGAAAACGCTTTAATTTATAAGGAGAGAAGTCGGGCATTTCATGATCAGCAAATTTCTAGAAAAACATTTGAAGTTGGTCTGAAGGTCCTCTTGTACCAATCCAGGCTCAAGCTATTTCCAGGTAAGCTACGTTCCTGTTGGATTGGACCTTTTATTGTTACTCATGTTTTTCCCTATGGTGCAGTTGAAATCCAGAGTGCTAAATCAGACAATAAGTTTGTAGTGAATGGACACCGTCTCAAACATTATTACGAAAGTTTTTCAAGTGGAGAAGTGCAGACAATAAGTCTAGACGCACCACCGTGTCCTAATCAGTGACACTTTACTATGTCTAGCCAAAGACATTAAAGAAATGCGCTCATTGGGAGGCAACCCAATCTCTTTTACTTGTTTGTTTGGCTTTGTGTGATAATCTCACTGTGTTTTCCTTGAGTTTGATTGGTTTCGGGCTTGAAATTTTCGTTTTTGGTGAGTTGTAGGTGTCTATCTGACTCGGCGCGCCCGCGTCATCTCGCAGGGAGTGCTCACGGTCAGAGAGCTATCCTGCCCTCATGACGTGCCCGCGTCATGACGAACAGAAAGCTCACGGTCAGAGAGCCCTCTGGCCCTCTTGACGTGCCCGCGTCACGTTCGCGAGAAAGGTAAGGATTCAAAAAAAAAAAAAAAAAACAAACAAACAAACAAAAAAAAAAGAAAAAAAAATATTTCTCACCGTAGCTCAAATAGAGCCTAAAAAGAGAAACAAAATTTTTTTTTTCTTTTTCCTTCTTTTCTTTCTTTCCTCTTCTTCTTTCTTTCTTCTTTCTTCTTCCCGCTGCCTCTGTTCGCCCTTTCTTTCTTTTGTTCCACACGCCGCCGCACTTAAAGTCCACCACCCACCTCGCGTTGTGCTCCCCAACCGCGCGCCTCCTGCTCCACCTACACCGCGCGCCACCGTCTTCCTCGATCTCCCAGCCGCACGCCGTCATCCACGGCCGCCGCAGGCGCAAGCTCTCATCTTCCTCCACGCGCACGCGCCGACGCCGCGGGCCGCCGCTACTGGAGACCAATTGCTGTCCGCTGTGTTTCTCTCCCTCTCTCTCCGCTGCTGTCCACCACCAGCTCTCTCTGCCAAGCGCGAGTAGCCGCCGCTGACTTCCACCGCCGCAGATCCATCGTGCACCGCCGCCGCTCTTCAACCACACGCGCGCCACCCACGCCGCCAGCAACGACAGCAAGCTGCCGCCCTCTGCGCGCGCCACCACCAAGTCTCGCCCTTCCTTCTCCCTCCAGCTCGTCCTCCGTTTCCTCCACTTCCACCACAACCGCTTCACCGCCGGCCGTTTGCATTGCTCCCTCTCACCCCAGTTCCGCGACACTGCTTGCTGCTGTGTCCACCGACTGCCGTGGTACTGGTGGAGGTATTTGGACTTCATTCCCCAATTTCTAATATTGATTGGTGCTGTTTCAGATTTTCCCCAATTGGCATTGTTGACGGTTGGAGTTTATTTTCTCAATTGGTGATTTCCGCCAGTGGTACTGGTTGGACTATTTTTGCTTGGAACTGCTATTTCTTTTGGGTTGGGTTAAATTATGCAATTAATTGGCCAACTGGAGCCATTTGTTGGGACTTTGGGTGAACTGAATTGCTGTGATTGTTTGTTAACTTTGGAGGACACTTTGAAGCACACGTTGATTGTGGACATTGGTTGACTCGTTGTGAATTGCTGGGCACTATTTTGCTTGAATTGCTGGATAACTCGCTGAGGTTTCTTTTGGGATTTTGGTTGAGTTATTTCTGAAATTGCTTGTTGAATTAGGGAGGCTGGCCGGGTGAATTACTTGTTGAGATTGGTAATATTCGGTTTAATTACTTGTTGAATTGCTGATTGGGAGGGGCCTTACTATATCGGGATACTTATTGACTTCTGTGGACTGGCACACTTGCTGGGGTTACTTTCATTGCTATAATCATTGAGCTCATAACAGTTTGTTCGCCTTCTGTGGGGCATTGGGCATTTTTAATTGCTGAAACCCTTTTGATTGTTATTGATTGGGTTACTACTGGGAGATTTCTGCTTTGTTTTTGCTGAATTTCTTTTGCTAGTTGCTTCTACTAGATTTTCCACATGGTGAGACCAAAATCATCCTCTAGGTCTAGGGCCCCTCGTTCTCAACCCCCTCCACATGCATCTATTCCTGTGAATACACCTTCCAACCTACCCTCTTCTTCTAGTGTTCGAGCCCGCTTGGGTAGGGGTAGGGGTGCTCAGGTGGATACCCCACCTCACTTTGGAGGGCACCTAACCTTCACTAGACCCGCCGATCAGCAGAGATATGCTAAGGTCTGTGAGCGGCGTATTATACCTTGCAAAACTTGGGACAAATTAACCGTGATGGGTCTAGGCATACGAGAGGAGGTCGAGCAAATGTTTACAGCCATTGGGTGGCGCCCGTATCTTGATATCTTCTGCCCCGCCTTTGTCGAGCTGACTCGGGAATTTTATTCTACCTTTGAGTTTGAGCTGCCCACGAGGTACACCGTTGAGACAACCAATGTCATCCGCTTCCGTCTGATGGGTCGGGAATTTAATTTTTCGATTACCCAATTTAATCTGGTATTTGGGTTCATTACTCAAGCGTAAGCTGAGACTAGGGAGTATGGTGAGAGTGCTTGTGACTAAATAGAAACTTTTCTCTCCCGCTACCGCACTATGTGGGAAGACATGTCTACCGATCGGCACCGCTGCGACCCTTCTCGATCTAGGAGCTCCTTTCTTAAGGACCCTAGCGCCCGATACGTTCATCGATTCTTAGCCTACAGCTACTCCGGTCGGAAGGACAGCTCCGGCATTCTCTCTCGACCCGAGTTTTTCTTCATCTGGAGTATGAAGAATAACATCAAGGTCAACTTGGGGTGTTGGTTGGCGGCGCAGTTCAAGACCGTCTTAGCCAAAAAGAACAAGCCCCTAATCCTTGGGTCCTATATCACCCACTTGGCGACACAGTTGGGGGTTCTTAACTTGGAGGACCATGACCTACATTTGGCGTTCGAGATGGAGCTCTTGGACGTGGATTGCTTGGAGAAGATGGGAGTCGTCGAGCGCCTGCCCGACAGTTCCTACCTGTTTACCCCAATGGGCCCAGTTCGAGCTCCGGGGGCACACCCTTCGACACAGGCGGGGCCTTCTTCATTCCCTGGGTCGGCCGAGGACATTGCTGGACCGTCTACCTTCGCCCCACCACCTCCGCCACCTGGGACTCCTGAATGGCAACAACTCCAGGAGCGGGTTCAGAATTTGGAGGCTCGAATGCTCAACGTCGACCTCAATGTAGCTGGCATAGCGCAGAATTTGGCGCAATTTTTGCATCATGCGGGCTTTCCTCCTCCATTTCCGCCTCGCCCACCACTTTGACCGGACTTCAGGGAAGTTTTGCTGTCCTCTCACCCACTTTTGTTGGTTATTTGTCACATTGAGGACAATGTGTCCTATAGGTGTGGGGTGGTTTCTAATGAGGTGCCAGTGTTTTAGTTTTTAGTAATTTTTAGTTTTTAGGTGCGTCCTTAACTTTTAGTTTGTTCTTTGTTTATTTCCATTCAGTCATTTTCTTTCTTTCTAGTGATGAGCTGTCACGTGAATGCCAAAATTTGCTGGATTATTGCCTCTAATGCTACTTTTGCCAAGTTTTTTTTTAAAATAAATGTGTATCGAGTTAATGTGGTTGGGTCCAAGATATCTCCTTGGTGAATATCGGACTGCTTGACTCTCTTGATTTCTTTGTTAACTTTTCTAGGCATAGGGAATGACTGTTGGCGTTTTAATGTGAACTGGTCCAATATTGACTCGAGTTCTCCATGTTTGGCAATAATGAGGCGAGCTGCTCCTATACTTGTTTGTTAGTGTTGTTATTTCGCGTTTTTACGTTGTTTGGCTGTGAATAAGCTTGACTGTACTCCGCTATTAGTTACTACTGAGTAACCGGGGATCTGCACCTAAAAGTGTCGATTCTCGCGTCAAAAAGTAGTACTTTCTATGAGTACGTGGTCGTATAGTTGTAGGAGCTAAGTAACCGGGCTCCTTCATCTAAAAATGTTGGAGTTCGCGTCAAAAGGCTCCAACGGCTAGAGACTAAATCGTTTCGTGTTATTGTTATTTTTAATAAAAGAAAAAAAAAGAAAATGAAAAAAAAACAGCAAAGTGCAGGTTTGTAGTATGTTAGAGGTCAGCTTGCCGATTTATGGACTGAATATGGAGGCTTTGGTTAATATTTGGATTGTTTGCTGATAAATGTCATCCGTCATTCCTTTTTCTTAGATTAGCTAATTTGGAAATTGAAGAAGTTTGTAGTTTAAAAGCTAACCGGGGTGATGTTCTTTGGAGTTTTATCACTGATGCTTGATTTATGATTTTCTTGATATCTTGGCAATTTGGTAGATAGAGCAATGACCATTATCAAATTTTGGTGTCTGTGCACTTTTCTTATGCTTGAAGGCAAGCATGGTTTAGGTGTGGGGAAAATTGATAGGGTGTAATTTTATCATTTATTTTATAATTAATTTCCCCTATTACCTGACCTGATGTGGATTAATTAGTAGATTCTACTCACTTCTCGTAATTTGCATTTATTTCAGGGAGTAGAACGAAAATATGATAACAGGTACCAATTTGACAGAAAAGAAGTCCAGATGATAGAGCTTGCCCCAGGGGTATTTTTGGAAAAGAAGATATTACGCCCATTTTGGTAAATTTCAGGAAGGAAGGATGGCTGGAGGGCTTCGTTCGGCTGATGTGCCGCCGCAATTAAAAAGAAAGAAAAGAGGATCAGTGAGCGGCGGACTGGGAGCAGAGCTTTTCGTCTTTAGTTTAGCCGCAGTTGTTGACTTTTCTTCTTAGTAGTTTAGCTAGTTTCTTCTTACGCATGGAGGAAGGCTTAAGAGCTTCACTTTGACTTTTCTTGCTAGTTTTTCATTGCTTTGCTCCACGCTTGTCAGGAGGGAAGCAACTTTTCCTCTAGCTTTGACTTTTCCTCCTTTTACCTTTTGAGTGGCTTTGCTCTATGGATGCTAGGAATAATAGAGAGATTCAATTGCTGTCTGTGACTCTCATTTGCTTTCTAATTGTTCGACGAATTGCGGATTCCTGAAATGCAGACTAAGGCCGCGATTTTTGCTGAAATTTCCCGTGGGCTTAGTTCATCAAATATGTACTAATTTCCTCATTCTATTCAAGAAACGACGGATGCTTTGGGTTACCTAAAAATTGTGAGATCGATTTAATTTAATCTTTCCCTTTTATTTATTGGTATTCGTATATTCCTTGATTGCTATGCTTATGGTT